TGCACTCACTTCAAACCTATTTACAAAGCAATAGCTGTATAAAAAGGATATCTTGAAGCCCGAGTACAAAAGTCATACAAAATCTAAAAATACAAATAACCTATCAGAGATTACTGCATAGTTGAAAGGCAATGCTCTTACAATGCACACGATTTAAGAAAAAAAAAAAAGGCAACAAAAACAACCCCAAACTTAAAGCCACACAGACCTGACATCAACGCTAAACTAGTTACTTGAGGAGCAAAAGCATCTCTTGACATTTTAACTGTTTTCTAACTAGCAATTTCTTATGATTCATGCAGTGTGGGTTTACCTGAAATAGACTACAACAATAAACTGCAATCAAAATAATTACAGAAGTATGAATTAGCCTCTCTCATTCAAGTTTTGAGCCAAGAGCTTACACTTTTTTTTTTTCCAGGAAACTACTGAGGTGGCAGTGGAAATGGAGAATCATTAGACCATCCTCACGTGAATGTGCCCACAAGAACAGTGCTGTCTTTGGTTCATTACATTAATAAGTATCCTCTCTAGTTTTGTAGATGGCACCAGAAAGTAACAATCATTACAGTCTTTCAGACAGTATCAGTAGTCTATGGCAACAGTAATCCTGCAAATGACATCTCCTGAGACAGTCACCTTAAACTTTAGAAGAGTTTAAGTCTCCTTTAGAAGAGGGAGACACAATGCTCAGTGACACATCAACCCCTAGGCAACATGAAGGAAAAAAATGTAAGTTGCTTCTCTACCAATATGAGGTTTCTCAGGAGTGTTCTGTTTTCAGTGGGTCCAAACAAGCTTCTCAGAGATGAGTGTACTTGCGTGGGCATTCTGGAGGTCCTGCTGCACCCCTTGCATCTCTCTGACAATACAATACCTCCACACTGCGTAAATTATTGAGAGTGGAGTTGAACTTTTCATCTGTCAGGAAGCTGAAACAAAGTTTTTTGCCCAAAGGCAGGTAGTATGAGATGCAGACATACAGCCTAACAATAACCATATCTCACCTGAAATCGTTGTTCCTGTAAATTGGCGTGAATTAAAAACTATAGGGAATTCTCTTTGCACTTTTTCTAACATCATTATGACTTATGCTCTAAAATGCATTGGTTTTGTTTGCAGGACAAACAACTGTTTGCAAACAGACTCAGCAAAAACAATTTTCACTGGCTCTTAATCCCAGATAACGTTTCCTATAGACTAATTGTGGAGTAATAGCTAATGAGTGTAATAAACAGTTGAAGTAAAAATGACAGGCTACATAATGGTACTCATTCCTTCCCTTCCAAGCTACTGCTACAGCATGGTCAAGACAGTAGCTTCAAGACAGAGGCACATTTTCACTAGTACCATTTTGATGTCTACATGTGCATTCTGACACTACCTGAGATTTAGGAAGTTTATGCCTAAAGAAAACATTGATTGCATACTGTCTGTAAAGAATAAAATATTTTGTTTTAGTTTCATCAGTGGTCTTAACTATGTCAACATATTTAACTTACAGGACATTTTTTCCTGACCACTACTTTCAGTTAGTATTAGGTACCATATATTTTTAAAAACATAGAATTTTCACAGAGCCTGTCGTCTTAGTTCACCTTCAGCAAATCATAGGTAATATCTGTCTGATTTTAACAAAGCATGAAATTATACCTCAGCAAAGCAAATTATCAAGCAACAGGGACAGCTGCTGTATTTCTTAGTGTCATCAGTTCAGATATATCTATTTATATTCCTCAACAGACCCCTTATAAAAAAAAATCTTCTTAATAAGTAATAAAGCAAAAGACGAAAGACCTTTATAATAATTCTATTCTCCTTACTCTGCAAGTTAGCACCGTACAAGTTTATGATCAGGAAGATGCTTACAGTATGCAAAAATGCTACAGTTATAACTTGTATAACCTGAATATATTCACCAAACCCAACATGAAAATTTACACCAGGCAACACATGATATAGAAGTTCAAGTCTAAGTTTAGTTCAGAAAGACAAAAGGCAGGCATGGGGAGAGCAGTGGAAGATTCAATCCTCAGAGATGACTGAAACCTTAATTAGAGTTGTGCAAGACACTCCTTGGAAATTAATATGCTCTTAGGGTCTTGGAATTTTCTACAACAAAAAATCTTCGCTATTCTTTACCAGTTTCTAAAGACATCAATTCTTACTCCTGGTTTTGGTAGGGTGTTTTTGGTTTTTAACTGGATTAGTTTCACCTTTTTCCCTACTTGCACTAGACTCTCATCAGGATCTCCCAACTCTGTACTGCCAGTGGAATCAAGAGAAGATTTCAGATCTCTTTTTTCAGAGGGCATGAGAAGAATAGGAGAAAACTCCCCATGGCAGGGGAGTTGAAACTAGATGATCTTTAAGGTCCCTTCCTACACAAACTATTCTATGATGCTATGACTTGTTCACCAGCTAACATTAATAGAAATAATACATGCAAATTCCTTTTGGGAGAAAAATATAATAATTACAAACCCAATCAAAATTAAGTAATTGTCACCATGATCTACAAATCTCAATGAGTTATATAGTTACATTTCTGTATGTCATGACAGCCAGTTTTACAACACTGATTAATTCATTCAGAATACTACCAGGTACAATAAATTTATAACAGAAAGACTTTTAATCAATATAACAATCAACAGTATGGAATTATTTCTAACAAAAAGACTTGAGAAAAATAAGTTGGAACTATCTGATGGTTAAAAATGTTAGATTTCTCTCTCTTGTAGCAACCTGTGCTCAGAAAATAATAATAGTAGTAGTAATAATAACATCCTTTTTCCTCTCTATGTTGACTTTTCTGTTTATATATATATATTCTGTTTATATATATATTTATACCAATATAATGATTGAATATGTGAATTATAAAATCAATTGCAGTCTTCGGTAGGAAGTATGCTTACACATTGCCAGCTCTTTAACTAGACTTCAAAATTGTCTATAACTATATAGTAATAGATTTTTTCTGCTATTTTGTCCTCAAATGCAGTCACAATATTAAAATCAGACAGAAATCAGCATATTTGCAGGATTCCAAATAACGCATGTGTTGTCTGGGAGGCTGCAAATGTGCTTTATTGCTCAGTGTGCAATACAACATGTTTGCATCCTATCAAAGACTTTTCTTCATGTTATTACCTAAGAATTTTCCAAGTCACTTCTGTACTTTTGTCCCAAATGTTGTCTTATCTTCAATGAATATAAATATCTCTAATTGATTCACATCTGCAGACACACACTTCTATATCTACAGGTATACACAAATAAAATACTTGGATTTCTCAGGGAAACATGAAGACATGAACAGACTTGAAAGAGAAGACAAAATTAAAATATATTAGACAATTCTAACTCAATCTTAGCTCTTATCAGTTTGTGTAGGGTTTTTTAAGGCTACCATTATGATGCTGGAAATCCACTTGTCTGACTAGTGCTAAATAATACTGAAAATCTGACAAATTCAGTTATTAAGACAGCATTATCAAAGCAGTAGTTTCTTGACTAATTGTAAAAGTCTCCTTGAATTATCTTAAAATAGCCTCTCTAAATTCTTTGATAAAACCAAAGGAAATGCACATCATCAGTCATTTTAATACATTTAAGATAACACAGGGCAATTGCTGAAGTTGCACCAGTACTGTGTGAATATTAATACAAGAAAGACAATAATGTTCAGTTTTTACTTTACAACTCAAAGTGCAGAATTAAGATTCTAATTTCTGACAGATTTTCTTGTTTGTACCTAATTTATGGTTGTCTAAGTTACATCAGAGCATTAAAAAAATACTGAGACAAAGAAGAACTTTTTGAAAAAATCAGAAATAAATATCAAGATATTTTCTGAAACTTCATAAAGAACTTGAATTGTGGAAGACTAGTGTTTCCAAGTTTTTATTTCGTTGCAGGTTTTACGTCAAACTAAATTACTTGTGCTGCCCATGTATAGACTTTGCTGCTATTTTAAAATAGAGTGCTAAATAAGGAAAAAATTCTGAAATCATTATTTTTTTAAGTTTTTTAAAGCTGCTATTGTCAATTTTGAAACATTTTTCATCAGTACCTTTTTCCTTAAAGTTTTCAAGATCTTGATATCTAGTTGATGTTCAGTCAAATCATGACAATTACATACAAAAGGGAGAAAATTAATATACTGCCTAAATTCTAGCTTGCAAACTCCCAATCGCCTTCATGATACCCTTTTTAGGCCTATCTATATATTTTTGAATTATACCACTTGATGGGGACTAAGAACTTCAGAATTCTGCTCTCAGTTCTACCCCCACGTACGTGTATCTGTCAAAATCAAGCCTAATGTTTTTAGTTCTTTATGTAAAATGGATCTCTTAATACTTTTTCTTGCAATATTGCTAGGAAGACAAGTTCATCTCACTTAAATATTTTGATGTAGACAATTGGAGTTGAGATGAAAACAACAGTTTAAATTCCTAAGTGGAGTTTACTGTGAGATGTATGTAAAATTAAACAAGTTCACTGTAGCTTGAAGAAAATTCTTTGCTACAAGTGACACAACTGTAAAGGGCACAATCATATAATTTAATAACTCTGAAAACCGAAGATGTCTGAGTCACAACAGGCATCTGCACATGCAATCTTTGCTAAAGAATTTTAGTGGAAAAGTTTCACACTCTCATATAAGTTTGGATGATTTTCACCTTTCATTTGCTTTTAAAAGAATTTCTGAAAAATAAGCTCTTGCAGTTTAGCATGCATCACAGTGGATGTATAACCTATAACGACTCAGCATGAAAATCTTGCTCATTAGATTCAAAACCTCAATAAAAGAAGAAAAACATTTGCTTGCTCTTCCCTAAAATATAAAGTTAATAATAGTAGGTGTTAAACGTAATGCACTTGATAAGATATTCTTCACAATCAAGCTGCAAGTCCAGTTCAAAATAAACTGGTTTTTTTCTAACTGTACAATACAATTTAACATTTAACAACAGAAAAGAAGAACTTACAGGTAAAGCAATCTTTTAGAAAATTTCTGCTATGACAGAGCTTCACATGACCCTTCACATTACTTCCTGGGTTCATTTCCTAGAACAAACAGAAACAAGACACATGTGAAACCAGTTAGAATGTTAAAATAGTGTCTATTTAATTGTCCTAAAACATGCTATGAAGCAAGGTTTGGGATAACATTTTACGCTGGTGTCTTCCAGATGATACAACCTACAATAAAAATTCTGGAACTGAAAGGTAGTCTTAAACAATTTTTATCAAATTCTTCACCAGATACTGATAACCATTAATCTTTCTGTAGAATTTGAGACTGATTTGAGATAAATCCTTGATTTTCCTGAGCACAGGAAAACTATACATGATTTTCCCTCTATCAGCCACACTAGTGGAAAAAGCCTTTTTATAACCAGCGAACCCATACAGCATTGGCAGAATAACATTCAAGAATAAATAAAGCTTAATAAAAAAAAAAAAAGTCAAAACATATAATTAGTTCTCCAGCAATGTTTTTACATAAATTTGCTCACAAAAGAGTACAAAAGATAAAACACTTAACATTTACTACATTGCTGTTCGTGTATGGGGTGGGGGGTGTTAGGGAGTGTGGGGGCAGGGGTGTCAAGAGCATGGAGAGCTCAGGCAGTTTTCTCCTCAATGCTTTCAGAAAAGCAGAAGAGTCAAGAAGGAGTTGACAGATCCCACATGTCAACAATTGGTTGAGCAGTTGGTGTGGGCAAGAGGGTTTTGGATTTCACATGATCATGGGATATTCTACGAGGACAGAGGATTGTTTAGCAGTGATGTTGTCCACATAAGTGGGGAAAAATATTTTTGCCAACAGGCTGGCCAATCCAGTAATAAGAATTTCAAACTAGGAATAACAGGGTTAGGAGAGGATGACCAGCAATCAAAAGAGGAAGTGAAGGACCAGGTTGGCAAGCAAACAGTGTCCGGCAATGTCAACAGGAGGAAATTTGTAAGCAAAAAACCGGGGCTGTAAGGGTCCAACTGCAACTGTGTGCATGTACATAGAGAAAAGCCTACCAGCCTACCTTTTCCAGGAAATCAGTTCTCCAAAGAGCCTGTATGCTAATACATACAGCATAGGGAACAGGCGGAATTAAGAGGTGCATGCAGTTGGAGAATGACAACTTCACTGGGATCACAGACATGGGTAAATAGCTCACATGAACATGAAAGGGAACAGAAAATGTTTCTGCTGGTGTTATCTGCAGCATAAGGATGACTACGGAAAATGGTGGCCCACTGCTGATGAAGATCTCACAAACGATATGAAGGCCAACACACTGAATGCCTTTCTCATCTCACTCTTTATTAAGAAAACCATCTCTCAGCAACCTCAGGTCTCTGCGACCAGTGGGAAAGCCTGGAGCAAGGTAGGTTTCCTCTCAGTGGAGGAGGATCAGGTTAGGAAGCATTTAAACAAAACGGACACACACAGATCCACAAACCATAATGAGATGCACCCACATGTACTGAGCACTGGCTGATGTCATCGTGAGAGCACTCAACCACAGAAACATCAAAAAAGGTCACAGTGATCAGGGTGGAGGGAGGAAACTCTGAGGACTGGAAGAAAATAAATATCATCTCTACTTTAAAGAAAGTCAGTCACAGTTCACCTTGACTCCTGGGAAAGGAATGGAGAAATTAAACCTGAAAACCATTACCAAACACAAGTGGGATAAGAAGTTGTCTGGGCATATTGAGCATGGATATATGGAGGGGAAATTGTGCCTGACCAACCTGATAGCCTTTCACAAAAAGAAGGCTGACCGAAGGTTGACCCAGTGGACAAGGAGAGAACACTGAACATTGCCTATCCTGACTTAAATAATGTTTCTCTCAGAGCCTCCCATTGTCTTCTCCCTGACAAACTGATGAAACACAAAAATTTCAGTAGAAATTCATCAATAACTTGCAAGGTGAGACACAGTGCACAGATAATGCAAAACTAAGAGTATTCGATACATCAGAGGGTTGTGTTGCTATCCAGAAAGACCCTGACAGGCTGAGAAATGGGCCAACAGTAACCTCACAAAATTCAACAAAGGGAAATGCAAATTCCTGCACTTGGTAGGAATAATCCCATGCATGTTGGCAGAAAAGGACCTGAGGGACAACAAGCTGGCCATGAGCCAGCAATGTGCCCTCACAGCAAAGAAGGCACACAGCTATCAGGGTTGCATCAGGAAGAGTATCATCAGCATATTGAGGGAGGTGACCCTTCCACTCTACTCAGCACTGGTAAGCCACCCTGAACCTGGGCCCAGTTCTGGGCTACCCAGAAAAAGAGAGACATAGACTTAGCGGAACAAGGCCAGCAAGAGACCATGGAGGTAATTAAAGGACTGGAGAACCTTTCGTATGAGGAGAGGGTATGAGAGATGGAGGCCTTGAGAAGAGAAGACTAAAAGGAATCTGTTCTGCGCTTACAAATACCTGGTTGGGGGCAGAGTAAGGAAGGCAGTGGTATCAAGTGAAAGGAAAAGATGAAACAGGCATAAATTAAGTACAAGATATCCCACTTAATGTTGTGGGCGTTTTTTTCCTATGAGAGTAGTCAACCAATGGCATGGGTTGCCCAAGATACATCTGAATCCTTGCAGATATTCAAAACCCAACTGGGCATAGACCCGGGCAATATGTGATAGGTGACCCTGCTTTGATCAGGGGGCTGGGAAATCTCCAGAGGTCCCTTCCAACCTCAACAATTCTATGATTCTGTAAAGTGTTTTATTTAACTGGTCTTTGCTTAAAATAAATTGAAAAGAGTTTAAATTAATCACCCATGAAATCTCTTCTCCACGATGCATGGGAAAAAAATGCACAATCAACCTCATTGTGCTTTAGCTAGTGTAAAAGGAATAAAAAGGTTATAGCTGAAAGCTAGCAACATATAGTAACTCTGATAGTCATGCCAATATGACTTTTGGCCTCTCTGATATTAATGGCAAGACTTTACAATCACAGATTAAAAGCAACAGAAAAAATTCAGATACTCTGATCCAGTTCATTGTCTCCCTCTCTAGAGACAATGACCCACCTGTCTAGAGACAAAACCCACCTGGATGCATTCCTCTGTAACCCGCTCTAGGTGACCCTGCCTTGGCAGGGGTGTTGGACTAGGTGATCTCCAGAGGCCCCTTCCAACACTAACAATTCTGTGATTCTGTGATTGTAAAAGACAAAAATTTTCCTCTATAATTCCTGCTTCTAACTCTCCCAGTTTCCCATGAGAAAGCAAATATACATAAACGTAGAACTTCAGGTAGATATTCACATTTGATTTTTAAAATGGATTAACAACAAATATATCAAATGTATTTCGTTTCATAATGGAAAGATATACTGAAAAAGCAAACAAACATTGCTCTGACTACTCAAAAAAATTGGATAACATGCACACTAAAAATGTGAATCAACTGTATGGAGTTTGGTATTTCATGGTATTTCATAGTAAATGAAAACACCAACACTTATGTAAGCATTCACGGGTTTATGACAGCATGACCCAAAGAACTGTTCCACTGCATGTGGCGTAATCAACCCATGGAGTAAGTTTTATAACTCATGAGAAAAGAAGCATAATTAGACCGTAGAAAGTTCAAAGAAATATTTTGTAGTCAATATATTACTTAGAGGGAAAAAAACCTTTAGCAGTTCAAATCATACATCTTCAAGGAAGTAGATTAAGCTTTTCTTTTTCCATAAGCTTTGCTTTTCACAAGTTAGAATTTGAGCTGTTGAAAAGATATGACTAGAAATTATATTTCAAATTCTCTAATGATCTATTTCCTTAAAGAAAAAGCAAACAGCACGTGCCTCTTTTATTCACTGCCAGGGAGAACAAAGAATACATGTTAAATAAACAGCATGTTTCTGTACATATATACTCATAAAAAGGCACATTTTATTTATATCGTCACAGGGATATCTTTTGTGTTCATGTTGCTATGGAAACAAACTTCTGTGCCAAACACATGATTACAGAGACATTCTAGTTCTTAAACAGGGTATGTATCTTAGCCTTTTTATTTTTTAAATCAAGGAAAAAAAGCTAGTGTATAAGGTTACAGACGAGCTCTCAACAGTCAAGAGCATGTGAAGCTAACAAAATTATAACATCTGAAACACAAGGACTTTTCATTCCATAGTGTTTGTGTGCTTAGATGTATCTTTAGAGGCTATCTCAAAAAGCAGTAGATTACAGCATAAAGTTAGGACATTACTGTTTTGCATAACATAGAAGATGAAGCAGAAAAACCTGACATTTTCTTTGATTTGTTGAAAATAAAATTTATAGGAAAACTTCACTATGGAACTGCTCATATCAAACAGCACATCCATTAAAAAGAGGGTGAATCAAAGAACGTTACATAGATTTAAGTTCCTGTTTTCCTGTTTTTGCACAGAACATTAAACAATATCTATTCAATACCTGTATCTGTTTTATTTATCATGGTCCATCTGCTCTGCAAATGTTCTTGCAAAGCAGTTTCCCATAGCAACATCAAATATCATATAGTCTCAGTCTTCTGTCAAAGCCCTTCTGAATTTCAAGCAGCATATTTTTCTGCAGTATTCAAGTAAATAAATAAATGGAGTATTTCATCAAGAAAAAATGAAAAGCACCAAAAAATGAATTTAACAAATACCCATAAATAAATCCCATAATTTCATTTAAATAATTACATTTAAAATCTAAGGCAGGGTGGGAGATATATGTTATTTAAAAAATCTTGTCAATATGATAGTAGTTTTTACTTGATCAAAATTTCAAAATCATTATGTTACATGGAGCAAAACAAATTGTGCATGATACAAGTTTTAAAGAATAAGGTTACACTATGCTGGAAAGTAAGTTTTTGAATGAAAGGCCCACAATGGCTGCTTACTATGGGACAACTTCAGATAGATATCACCTACAACTCATTATTAGCCCATCTAAATTTTACATCCTCATGTTTACAATGATCAAAGAAATATAAGAGGAAAATTTCTCAATACATTTTCATGTAAGATAAAGAAGAACACT